AAATTTAAGACAGATACTAGTATAACCTAACATAAGAAATATGCAGCAAAATTAAGACAGATACTAGTATAACCTAACATAAGACATATGCAGCAAAATTAAGACAGATACTAGTATAACCTAACATAAGACATATACAGCAAGGTTAAGCCTGTAACCATGCTGTATATTTCTTATATTACGTTATACTAGTATCTGTTGTAACCATGCTGTATATTTCGTATCTTAGGTTATACTAGTATCTGTCGTAACCATGCTGTATATTTCTTATGTTAGGTTATACTAGTATCTACAGATACTAGTATAACCTAATATAAGAAATATACATCAAGGTTAAGACAGATACTAGTATAACCTAAGAAACATACAGGAAGATTAAGACAGTTACCTGTATAATCTAACATAAATACAAAGCAAGGTTAAAACAAGTACTAGTATAACCTAACATGAGAAATGTATAGGAAGGTTGAGACAGGTACTAGTATAACCTAACATGAGAAATGTATAGGAAGGCTGAGACAGGTACTAGTATAACCTAACATGAGAAATGTATATGAAGGATGAGACAGGTACTAGTATAACCTAACATGAGAAATGTATAGGAAGGATGAGACAGGTACTAGTATAACCTAACATGAGAAATGTATATGAAGGCTGAGACAGGTACTAGTAGAACCTAACATGAGAAATGTATAGGAAGGTTGAGACAGGTACTAGTATAACCTAACGTGAGAAATGTATATGAAGGATGAGACAGGTACTAGTATAACCTAACATGAGAAATGTATAGGAAGGCCGAGACAGGTACTAGTATAACCTAACATGAGAAATGTATAGGAAGGCCGAGACAGGTACTAGTATAACCTAACATGAGAAATGTATAGGAAGGCCGAGACAGCCCCCACACAAAAAGATCATTTTTGCAGCTTATTTGTAGAGAATCAGTACAATAGGAAACTGTAGTATAACAACTTCCACTAGTGTAATCTGCCTATATATCCATGTCATTACAACCAGAGTATGTTGTGTATTCACCTGTGGACATGAATATAATAAGATGAGGATCAGCCATTCATTCACACAGATGTTGAAGTCATACATTGTTCCATCATGAATAACACCAACAAATATATGAAAGAAGAATGTAGTGAAACATCAATCTGAGATTCTTGATTGTCCAATGACCATGAGAGATCACGACACATTTCCCAAAACTACATAACATACTGCTTCAAATCTGGTTCACTGACACCCAATAATCAATCAGAAATGATTAAGTAATTGGATAATTTATCAATAAATCTATTATCTATGTCCCTGTTCCACGAAAGGCAGAGAAAAAGAAATCAGTACAGAGACACGGTAGGTATGAACTGAATAGAACACCCATGTATAAGCATAAGACCCAAGGACTGAAAACTTCAAAATGTATGAAGATCTAGAATTGCTTCATCATTCAGAACACTTAAATGTTAATAGGAGAGAGCAAGGTGATTGGCCACTTGAATGCAACTCCAGGGAAGTAAGCTAGATGATTGGCCACTTGAATGCAAATGCAGGGGAGTGAGCTAGATGATTGGCCACTTGAATTCAACTCCAAGTCATAGAACACCTTCTTAAGGTACACGAGGCAATGAGAAGAAAAGACTGAAAATAATAAACAGTTATTTCACTGGATATAAACAGAGACATCAAAGTCCATAAGAAAGCATGTTCACAAGAAAGTTACAAGGAAAGTTCTAGCAACATCAATGAAAAGGAAGGGTAAAAGTCAAACTAAAGCAAAATATAATTAACTTACAAAACAGAGTACATAAATGCAAAGTCTGGTCTTAAAATATAAAAAAAACAATGAATGTTACAGAAAATAATGGAGAATACAATGATTGTCACATCATCAACATAAGAAACTGAAAATAATTCATGTCAAGTAACTCTAGAAGCAAGTACTGAGACAAAGAAATAAACAAATTCTTAGGTGAACCAACAAAAATTGTCATTAGTATGCTGACCAACTTTATGTAGACTTTGACTAGTGCTGAAACTCCAATAGCTTGGTACACCATAAAACATTTTGGGTCCAGCTTTAAAGAACAAATCATAAGGTTTATTTAGTCTAGAAAAATGAAATGTCTACTTAAAATATAAACTCTACAATGAATAACATTATATGGATTACATGATCTTTGCCCTCTTAACCCTAACCACAGAGCTTCCATCTCATAGACAACCAATATCATTTTCTTATTGTCATGACCTTTAAAACTTGGTAACCCTGTTTCCATACCAAAAAAATTTAAAATGTGTTCCACTGCTGAACCTGACTTCTAGCATTCCTCAATTTCCCCTCGGTGGACACAACAGATAGCCTGATGTGGCTTTGCTATTATAAAGTGCTATAGCAAAGCCACACCAGGCTATCTGCTGTGTCCACCGAGGGGAAACTGAGGAATGCTAGTGTGTGTGTGATAAAGCGCACACACGCACACTAGCATTCCTCAGTTTCCCCTCGGTGGACACAGCAGATAGCCTGATGTAGCTTTGCTATTATAAAGTGCACACACACACATTAGCATTCCTCAGTTTCCCCTCGGTGGACACAGCAGATAGCCTGATGTAGCTTTGCTATTATAAAGTGCACACACACACACACTAGCATTCCTCAGAGAAGATAAAGGAAAAAGGAGGCATGGAGAAGTAAAATAAATTATGTTTACACTCAAATGCAAGAGTTTGTTTGAACCAAAGGATGTGTTGTAAGGTTTATTTTATTACAATTTAAAACAACTACTGGATGAAATTGTTTGAAATCTGATGTCAACTTTCTATACATTAAGTAGCTTCTGCAAATATCCTATTTTTTATGTGATATTTGTATGAAATATGAAACATTTCACTCTGCCATGTTTTTTAAGTCCTTATCTTTGTTCTAGATTTTCATATATTCATACATTCTTGTAAAAATTTCCAATATAAAACTTAAATTTTATTTTTGTTTTGATCCATAAAACACCACATGCAGTTTCACTGTGCTTTTGATCACTGGTGTACAATAAAAATAATTTTTTCACCAAACCTAAACTGTAAGCAAGCCAACATTTTTAACTGTTAATCACAAGGTTTTATTTAGTATATATATAAAAAATAAGTTTTAAGCTGTTTTTATATTCATTTTTTTTTTGGGGGGGGGTTGTTTTTATTTACACATTCAAGTTACCAAAGCTGATAAAAGACTAATGTAAACATGAACTTGGCAGCAAAAAGTCTGCATCATGTTATTTTATAAAAAAAATGTATTTTACAATCATATTGCAAATTAAGTATAAAATAATAAAGCAAGCTTGTCACATGCTTTCAAAAATCAGGTCTGTAATGATGGTAGAAATTCTTCACAACATATCACCAAGCTGACCGTGCTAAACTGTAAGCCATATTGGCTTACATCATTAAAATAAAAAAGAAGGAAAGAGAGATCTTTGATTATGTGTACAGATAACTAGCCTATGAATTCTCAAAGCTAAGATACAGGCAATTACATCACACCATGAAAACCAAGAGTTGAGAAACAATGATTCACTAAAATTGATAAAACTACACTTTTCTTTAAGTTACAAGTTTAAAATTGGTGGATTTTTTTTTCAAAAGTATTACAATTTTTTCCAGCAGGCTTTGAATGCTGTATTAAGCTCAGAAAAGAAAAATCACAAAATTACAAACACTAATGATTTCATTCAGAGCAAGATGAAATTAAACCTAAATCAAAATGTCTTATGTTAAGATGAAATATATAAAACTTTTTATTGAAAAAATTTCAACTCTGAAAATTTTCATAACATGTGTTGGAGAATGATACAAGTTTATTTTCTATAACCTTTTAATTTAATGGTGCTATTTTCTTCTAAGAGCACAGTGTGCCCATCAGGACAAGACAGAGAAAAGGTCTGCATCAATCAATTTCTGTATAATTCTGAGAATTCAGAAGAGAAAATACACCTTTAGTACAAAAAAATAATCTCCTGATTTTAAATAACTGACAATAAAGCATCTCCCAAAAAAAAGTAGGCCCACACCTTTAAAACTTAGGCTATGACAAAAGGATGAATATTCATGGATGGTATTAGATGCCAAACATGAATGCCTCTAAAACACTAGGATAATTGGAACCAGCAAACATGGTCTGTCGCATCTAGATCAAAATGCAGGTTACATGCAGAACAGTAAATTCTAAGTAACTGATCACAAACATATGAAACTTTAGGTCCCAATATATTAAAAATAAAGTTCACATCTGACAGCAATATATGAAATTAAAATACATTAGAAGAAAAATGTCCACATCAAAAAGACAAACATTTAGGTTCTTGATTGTCAAGAATTTAACAACTAATCAGAGAACAGAACTAGAAGGACAATACATCGTACTGAAGTAATAAATAGATCCAACAGGTTAAACAAAAAGACAAAAGTTAATGTAAAAGAGCTAATGTTACATGAATTTTGGGAAAGAACTAAAGACACAGAAACACAAGCCAACAGCATTTTGGAAATCATTCAATGTTGAAGTAATGTTACGATGAACAGCAAAGGACAGTGTAATCCAGTAATGTCCTACAATTCATGTTAATAGTTTTAGGGCATTTTGTAAACTCTAAAAACAATAAGGACTAACATTATCACGTGGTTAGGTAAGTAGCAACAGCTCACTGAAGAAAAAAAACATTTTACCAAGGGTAAAAAAAATACACAAACACAAAAAACAACTGATTTAAGACATCACTTCATTTGGTCAGTTTAAAACAAGCTTAAAATCCACATCTAACGCAAGATACAATTTAATGAAATTAATTATTTTTCAAAGTAATTTCTGACAGAAGAGTTGTTAGTCTTTACTCCAAATTATACAAAATATTTAAATACTTCTAGATGAGAAAACACCATAGATCATTACTTGAATTTTGTAATGTACAAAAATAAGTACCAATACACAAACACTATCCAACCTGATTGTTATCTAAACGCAAGTCTTCCAAGCACTGGAGAAGTCCAAAGTTCACAGGGATAAACTTCAGGTAATTGATGGACAACATACAAATTCGCAGAGATTCCAGATGACAGAAGCTATCTGGAAGATGTGTCAGTATATTATTACTCAGGTCCAAAAGTTCAAGGTTCTTCAAATTTCCAAAGGTTTCTGGTAAGCATTCAAGATGATTCTCATCCAGATGTAATTCTGTCAAGTGATGAAGATTTCCAAAACCCGAGGGAAGAGATTTTAGTAAGTTTCCATTCTTAAGATTTCGGTTTTGTTGTAATTGAAAAAGATGACTCCCCATGTCTATGAATTCCACTTTTTTGATAAATCCAAATGTACTAGGAAGAGTTTCAATGTTATTTCCACTGAAATCAAAATGTTTCAATTTGGAACACTTGATGCTAAAATCATCTAAAAATGGATCTCCATTGATGTTATTGCCTTTCGTGGACAATTCCTCAACATTGGTCATGCAGTTAAACCAAACAGGGAGACTGCAGATGTGATTGTAGTCTAGAACCAGCTTTACTATTAGTTCTGCCGAAGCAAGTGTCTCGGGTAATGTCGTTAGATGATTATACGACAAGTCCAAGTCTTCGAGACTTGGCAGATAACTGAATGAATTAGGAAGTTCACTGATGTTGTTATCATTCAATTTTAGTGTGCGAAGCTTAACGAGGTAACCAAATGTCTCGGGCAACTCAGTTATTACATTCTTGCTAGCTTCAAGAACTTCTAAATTTCTTAAATGGCCAAAGCTGTCTGGGAGAGACTGGAGGTTATTTTCATCAAGATAAAGTTCTCTGAGATTTTGAAGACAATTGAAATTATCAGGGATGCACATGATTTCATTACAACTCAAATTAAGCTTCTCTAAACGAACAAGTTGACAAATACTAATAGGTAGCTCTTGAAGGTAGTTTTTTCTTGCTAACAATTCCACCAGGTTCTTCAAGTTTCCAAGATTCCGGGGAAGAGAAGCGACCCTGTTATCATTAAGAGACATGCGGTGAAGATTCATAAGGCGATCACACATATCCAATGGGAGACTATGAAGCTCATTGTGATCTAAACTTAGGTTAACAAGACACGAGAAGCCGAGCACTACTCCTGGTAATTCTTTGATGTCGAAAGAAGTCAGAGTCAGGGTGCAATTGTTTGATACGTGACTTGAGTCCCGAAGATGATTTTGCTCATAGTCCTTTAGTAACGTATTCAGATTCATAGTACCTGTAATAAATTATTAAAACATTCAGTGCATATAATACTTTCAGGGGAGTTGATGTTTAATTATTAAAAAAACTTTGATACATCAAATAAGATTTGACTAAAAGAAAGACTTCCATATGAATCTACTGTAACATCAAATAGCAAGTGACCCTGACATTTTTTTTTAATTCAGTGCCATATTATCTGTAAACATAGTAATAATAGGTAGACAAACAATGATTTATCAGCATATAGAAAAGTTTTATTGACAGAACATTGGTCTGTCTTCTTCAGATTTGATCAGTACTAAGCAACCCAAAGTTTATATACCATTATAAAGACAACAGAGATTAAATGAGACAGAAATGGTGTCAGAAGGTGACAGGATATAGGTAGAGGTCAAGTCTGGTCAAATGTGTGAACGGTGAATAGACTTTGCCAAATACGGCTGATGTTGCTGGAGCCGTTATTACCATTTGGTGAGAGGTTGTTTGTTTTGGGTTGATGTAGGAGAAGAATTTCATTCCAAAGTATTTTGTGACCTGTTTCATACCGTTGATATGTTAAGGTGGATAACTGGAAATCGCCTCTATGCATGTAACCTTGATATTCTGTGTGTCTTGTTTCTAAAAAACGTGAAGTTTGTCCTATATATTTCTTTTTACTCATTTACATGGGATACTGTATATGCCCTGTTTTTGTTCTTTAATGGGGTTTCTTTCGGGTTAGGTAGCGAGATGTTAATTTTATGTGAGGATTTGGATACAGTTTTTACATCAGTGCTCAAATTATTAAAAGGTCAAGTAATTTTGTTAGCAATTTCTGGCACTAAAGGGAATGATACAAATTTGTTGTGTTTTTGTTGTTGTTAAGTGAAAGGTTAGAGTTAACACTGTTTTAAGTTTGATACAAGCTCTATCTATGGTATTGGAGTTTAAACCTCTAGGTTACAGTTAACACTGTTTTAAGTTTGATACAAGCTCTATCTATGATATTGGGTTTAAACCTCTAGGTTAGAGTTAACACAGTTTTAAGTTTGATACAAGCTCTACCCATGATATTGGGGTTTTAAACCTCTAGGTTAGAGTTAACACTGTTTGAAGTTTGATACAAGCTCTATCTATTGTTGCGTCATCGAGGTCACGTGACTGGTGTGGCGCCACCTATTTTCTAGAACTATCCTGTACCTTGGCGAATGCTCTAGTATTTACTATATATAGGGTAGTCTGGTATATAAAAGAGGGTGACAACGTGACGGGACAATAATGTGTGTGTAGATAGTGAGTAATTGAACTGCAGTCACAGGGTATTGTTGAAGTTAACGTTCGTTCGTTATAGTGTTTGTTATAGCACGAATGTTGAAAATAAGTGTATCGTAAAGTTGTATTCGGAAAGAATAAACCAGTTTTATTAAGTAAGGACTTGTGTCGCTAAAGTTTCGTCGGAAGGAAGTTACGGAAAGTTAATTAACAAACGGAGACGTAACAAATTGGTGTCAGAGGTGGAACGAAAAAAATGGAAACGAGAGGC